TTCTCACCCTTCAGCTGCTCGTTCTCCTTAAGCAGATCAACACAAACGTGTTGTAGCTCATCCACTTCCTTATTTAGATTTTCGTTGCTTTTCAGTGCACCTTGGAGTTCTAACATTTGGGGTTCAAACCTATCAACAACCTTTTTGAAGTGGATCACTTGATTATAAGTAGTAATTAACTTTTCATCCTTTGCGTGAGCAGCATAACAAAGCTCAGGAACGACACGTTCAGTATCTTGAATTTGAAGTATGTAACATCTAATCTCCTTCTATGCACTTTCATACTTAACTTGGATCATGTCAAGCCTAGTCTTCAAGTTAATGATCTTTTGGCGAGTGTTCTCAAGCTACAGAGGAATGGGGGCAGAGATATTAGACCCTTTCCAAGCGACGAGCTCAGACTCCAACTTTCTGGTATTCTCAGTAGAAGAATAAGTTTTAGTTGCCATAGCTTTGCCATCTCATTGGCAGTCTTGGTATCTTCTTGGTTAAGAAGCATAGACTCAGCTACCAAAATCGTTAGTTTCTGCATCATAGCAAGCAGAGCAATCCTTCTATATTGGGTTGTATGCTTCACAAAGGAACTTGGGCAAATAATCTCTCTAACGCCATCAATAAGCTTGGCACATGCATCCATGTCTTCAAGCATATCTGGCTTCAAAAGTGCACATATCTTAACAGCCTCTTAAAAAACAAGCTTGGTGGATTTCTCACAACTGCCCACGCGAGCAGTCTCATTTTTCTTAGCAGGTGAACTAGTCTCAATAGCAAGAGGAACATGCCTTGGTGCCACTTTAGCAGCAGAGTCCACCTTATCGCTATTCATAGCAGCAAGCCTCTCCGAAGGTGAACTACACTTAGCTCCCAACTGACGTTTTGGCACAAATTTGGGCACTGGGGGCACGACGAAACCTCTACACTGAGCAATTATATTAGCAATTGCACTAGCTACCTTTGGCATGGAAGGCATCATCGGCTCAGATCTAGCGACCTCATCTTTCTTCCTATTGGAAAAAGTCAAGTCAATCACAAGCCTATCGGTAGCAAGCGAACCCTCACTAGCAGTGGAGGAAGTCTTCGACTTCTTCTCAACTGGCATCTCTTGAGAAGGCGAGGAAGATCTCTTCTTTCCACCTTCATCCACAGCAAGCTTCACAACAACGATAAGATGAGCTAATGCCTCTGCCTTGATCCGGTTTATCTCCTCTCTCAAGGGCAGCCCACCTTTCTCCCGGCGAAGAGGACTAAGCAGTCAACGCCATTCATAATACTCAGCTGGGATGCCTAAAACAACATGCATGTTCTTCATATCTAGGGAAGTCTTGGGAGTTAAGTTGAATTATGAATTTATATACACAGAGGAGGACAATTAACAAATCAGAGAGCAACTCAGCAAAAACACAAAGTAGCTTAGAGACTAAGTAGTCTACTTACTGGTGATGAAAATTGTCAGAACGCACAGCTCAGAGGAAAAATTAGACTCCCACTCTCCATTTATCTCTAAAGTCTCATTGGCCTAGTCATGATCTCTCTTACTTGAACGATCAAATAGCCTATGGTGGGATCACAGCTGCCCAACTCCATCAATATGGCCTATGTCAAAGAAGTACCAAAATTCGTTGACAGTTAGATCCAAGTCAAAGAATTGGCTTAGATTGAGGAATCTCACCATCACACGGACCGCATTAGGAGAACATTAAGTGCAGGCACACTTTATGAAGCAAAGCACTTTTGGAAGAAAAAACGCATAGGAAAAGTAAATCCCAACATGAAATAGTAAGGGTGAAACTTGATGGCTTTTCGAGCCCTACTACATGGCTCATGGATGCTACCCTCCTTGACACGCTTCACACACACCCTAGAAAAAATGACGTGTCTATATGCTTCAAGGAAATCTCCAAACGAGTCATCGGAGCTAATTTTGAAGTGAGCAACCTTGAAGTAGCCCATTTTACTTAAAGACCCACCTTGGTGATACAACGGTGACACACCATCGTAACTCTTATGGCTTGAAGAAGACATACTTCAAGAAATTCTACAAAGATACAAGGAAGAATTATTAGACGGCTATAAAAAAAAAAAGGGTAACGCACAGGTTTTATGGCCTAAGGACCAAGCCACAGCCCAAGACCACAGGAGCCCAACAGCTGTGCCTGGCTCTACGGCTTGGTCCATCTCTCATCTAGGCCCAAAAAGCCTTTCAACCCAAGTTAGCATGAAGAAGGGGTAGGCGTCCCCATGGCTCTCTTAGTCTATCACTCACATAAGCCAAACCCAGCGGCCCGCAAGCCCAAGGCCTCTTTTTCTTCTTTCTGCATACGAGCCTGAGCCCAGCAAAACAGGAGGCCCGTGCCTCCTTAGCATCACCATTGTAGGCCAGGCCCAAAGCCCAAGCTGCTGCACTCACACGCCTGGCCCATGCCAGGCCTAGCCCAGTGCCCCAACGCTCCAATTAGCTTCGCCTAAATCGAGCTACACCTGGCCCAACCAGCCACCGCCGCACCGAGCTAACATCAGCTTGCCATCCACAGTAACAGTACCATAGCCTTTCCAAGCCACATTTTCACACATCCTTGACCCTCGTCGAGGTAAATTTCATGTCTCGAGGCTCCCAAAAATTAAGAAGACAAGGAAAATTAACTTTTTCTTACCTTGGTGCGGCATGAAAGACGAGGAAAGCAATGAAAGACGTCCCTTTGCATGGGCAAGTGTAGAAGATTGCTAAGACCACCTCCAATGATGGGCTAAATGCTAAATTGCCCGCCTAACCATCTCCAACCCATGCTAAAACATTGGGCTAAATGCCAAATGTTAAAGCTGGGCCAAATACCCCACCAGAATTCCCCTCCCCCCGGGGCGCTACTGGACTCACTGGCCATTAGGCCAGTCTGGGCCCATTCATGCTCCAACGCGCCCCACGCGGAGCGCTTGCAATTCGTTCCTGACAGGGGTAGTCCCGCTGTCAGCGGTTTGTTGGCCACCCAATACAGTCCAACGGCTACATTTTCAATCCGATGGTTGGTTTCATGGGCCGTCGGTTGATCCAACGGTCCAGATTCAAATTTGATTTTTTTAAATATGTTATTTTAAAATACATTGAATCCAATGGCTGAGATTGAATATAATCAAATCTAATGGTAAAAAAAAAATTCTAACGGCCCAAATTTAAATCCAACGGCTAAAATAGTTTAAAAAAATTGTTTAACTCAAAATTCACCCAAAACTCTATAAATACCTATGTATTTGTTCAAACATCCACACAAAACTCAATTTTCTCTTACCATTCTTCCAATTTATGTTTCTACCATTTCTTTCCATTTCCAAATTGTTCAATATGGCAAGAGAGCATATTAGAGGTCGTACTTGGACCTGTGAGGAAGATGTTGCTCTATGCTTGGTATGAGTTTTTGTTAGCGAAGATGGTGCAGTTAGCACAAATCAAAATGAGAAGGTTTTGTGGGATAAAATCATTGCAAAGTTTCAAGAAAACTGCAATGGCGGCGGGCGGGATGGTGGTGGTGGTGTTTATGATCGGTGGAAGACTATCAACAAAGCATGCACTTTATGAAAGGGAAGCTTGGAGAGAGACGTGGTTGGCATGGCTAGTGGAAAGAGCCCCACATAAATTGTGAGTTTTGTTCTTGATATTTTATTTGTCATGTACATAATATTATGTTGCAACTAATTATTTTTATGTATTTTTTGCATAGGGTGACAAAACAATGGAAATTTACAAGACAAGAGTAACACCAAAAAATCAAGTTTTTAAGTTGCAACATGCTTGGGACGTCCTCAAGGATTGTCCGAGGTTGGGAACCGATGTGGACCAACAATGGGGAAGATTATTTCAACGTGAAGCTGCACAGACAAATGCCGGAGATGAAGGTGTCGATGAAGGTGTCAATGAAATGACCCCATCTCCTTCTTTTGCAAGGCCCCTGGGAAGAAATTAGCAAAAGGAAGCAAAGAAAAAAAGGGAAGTCCCAAGATCCAATGAGTGGACACTTTGGTACCAGAATTGCAAAATTGAACGAAACTCATAGCACTCGCCAAGAAGAAGCAGCCTGAATGCGTTTGCAAATGAAGGAAATCTCAGATAGGGAGGAAAATAAGTTTGAAATTGAATTCATGATAAAGGACCTCAGCAAATACACTCCAGAGAAGAAGAAGTTCTTACGTGGTAAGTAAAAGGAAATTATGCAAAAGTCTGCCTCAAGGAGTATGTTTCAAGATGATGAATCCTCTGAACCCTATATCCCAACATTTAAACTGAAGTCCATCACCAAGTGAAGATGGTGGATATGATTGTTAAGTTTATGTAGTGTATGAATTATGTGTTTTATTAATTAAGTTTATTAATTGTCGTTTGTATTAAGTTTATGTAATTTATTAATTATGTGGTTTATGAATTATCGGTTATATTAAGTTTATGTGGTTTATGTACTTTATTAAATTTATGTCTTATTAATTATCCAATAATTTATGTCTTATTATTCCACACTTTGATGTAGAATAGATGCCTTCAATAATTCAACCTCCATTCAATAATTTTTCCAACATACTAGACAAAATACTTTGCACAAGAAGACACTTAAATTTATTACTAGAAAATAACAACATAGTACACTTAAAATTTTTACATAAATGCTTAAGCAACATCATCAACGTTCACCTTCTTGGCACCATACATGCTCAACCAAATTCTTGCAGAGTGTGTCATGACATTGAGGAGCTTGAATTCTATTTAAACGTCTCATATACTCACTCAAGGTGACCCTATCTTGTCAGGTGTCATATGTGGTTGGAGCGAGATATTCAACATCTCTTGCAATAGCTCTCACATGTGTTGGTTGGTCATCATCTACATTTTCGTCTGAATCTTCTTCAATTTCGATGTATTCATCTTCCACAATCATGTTGTGCAAAATTATGCATGTCATCATGATCGAATGGAGGTCTTCGGATTGCCAAAATCGTGCAGGCCCTCTAACAATGGCCTATCAAGCTTGTAGGATCTCGTACGCTCTTTCCACATCTTTCCTGTAAGACTCTTGCCTCTGCGAAAATAATTTCTTCTTTGCACTATTGGGATGAGAAAAACTTTTGATAAAGGTAGACCAACTAGGATAAATACCATCAGTTAGGTAGTAACTTAGCTCATACCTATTACTATTTACCTTGAACTGAAATTCTGGTGCCCATCCATTGACAACATTATCGAACAAAGGAGAAAACCAAAGAACGTTGATATCGTTGTTTAATCCAGGAGTGCCGAAGAAAGCATGCCAAATCCATGTGTCGTAAGATGCCACAGCCTTGAGCACAATGGTTGGCTTGTCATGATAGCCTTTGAATTGGCCAGCCCAAGCAATAGGACAATTCTTCCACTCTCATTGCATATAATTGAGACTTCCTATCATGCCAGGGAAGCCTTTTTTGTCTACCTTGCGTAGAAGCCTCTTCAAGTTTTCACGATTTAGGTTACGGAGGTATGTGGCTCCATATATGCCTTCAATTGCCTTACAAAAACGCTCCAGGTTCTCAATAGCAGTACTTTCTGCAAGTCGGCAATACTCGTTAGTTGAGTTTGCAGAGCACCTATTAGCTAGCATGCAAAAAGCAAATGTGAGCTTCTGACAAGGTGATATACCTTGTCGGCCTACGACATCTAGCCTCCTTGCAAAGTAGTGATCATAATTGACAACTGCATTAAAGATACTTTCAAAAAGCTCTCTCCTCATCCAAAACCGCATCCGAAAATCATGAGCAGGAAATCTCAGACGCTCGATGAAATAATCTTTCATCATTCGATCATGACTCTTCTTTATCACACTGCACATATGAACGCTCCGTGACAGAACCACAATGGCTAGATTCGCCATGGTGGTCAGATTGCATAAACGAGTTGATAAGTTCAACTTCGGCGTTGAACAATTCTGCATCCTCAATCTCGATCCTTGCTTGGTATTTTGCCATCTGCATTGTTATGCTACACCTTCTTCTATCACCCATTGATGAGATATTGAGGATTTTTAGGAAACAAAAACTCTTTGAAATTTGAAAGATTGTGAATATAAAGGATGATTGAAGGTTGAAAGATTGTGTAATCAATAAATATTGGACATATGTTTATATAGATGATGATTGATGAAAGTTGAATGGTTGGTGAAAGTTGAAAGTTTGGTGCTGAACGGTTGGTGAATTGAAAGTTGACCAAGGTTGAAAGATTGGTAAAAGTTGAAGGCTTGCTTTGTGGAAAATTTAGTGATTTTTCAATATTTATCGGAATTTAAATTTTTTTATATTAAAATGTTCATAAAATTAATTTACGATGCTCTACATATTTATTTATTTTTTAAATTTAATTTAAGAAAAAAAATAGCCTAAGTTCATTCTTTAATAATCCCAGGCTAAAATTTTAGGTCAGAACAGTTGGAGTATAAAAACTGTTTCTAGGCTAAAAGCTAAATTTTCTGGGCTAAAATATTTGGTTTTTAGCCCAACCATTGGAGATGGTCTAAGGGAGGGGAAACAAAATATCCTCTAGCTTTATCTCTCTTATAAGGTAGAATAAATTGCTCTTTGAAGTTGATTTAATCATCTACTTACGATAGACTCAAATAGACTTTGGAATTGATTTATTTCTCTTTCCTAGAAGGATCTAATTTCCAATTAATGTGGGAATCTACATCAAAATAGGAAACAATCTTATGATTCCTAAAGCAATTGAAGATATTTACACATGCTGCCTTTTCTTGCGAGCAGCCCAATAAGTGTGGGGGTATTTGTGGAGCCAAAAATAATCAAGAAAGTTATGGAGGCGAAATGTGGACTTTTGGGTAAAAGGACAAAATTACCCTCGAGGCACACTGGGATTCCTACGCACATGCAATGGACAATAACAGCTTAATCAAGGAAGAGTCAATGGTGATCAAAATGGTATTTATTCAAATCTCTCTCATCACTCCTCATCAAATCCTTATTCAAAAGGTAACTCCCAAATTTCCTATTTAATTTAGGATTAATTGCCATGTTTATTGCAAGATATTATTTCACATAATATCTTGCAATTATTCACACAATTTCACCATATATGGCCGGCCACTCCTCTATAAATAACCCTATTCTCCCACCAAAAAGTTAAGCCATTTGCTACCCACAAATTCGTAGACACATTCTTTTCAGAATTCTAACTTTGACATCGGAGATTCTTCGGCCAAAGCCCCCCATTTATCATGGGCGTGTGAGGCTTTTGGCCTTAATCTTAGGTGTTATTATTTTGTAGGTGCATTTTCATCAAAGAAGAAGACGACGAAAATTTTCATCAACAAGTTTGTTTAGGGTTTAGGTTGTTTTGGGTTGCGTAGGTTTGGCGAGAGATTTAGCTTAATTTTTGTAATGTGAATTTCCAAAATGCTAGTGCAACTTTTATTTGTGTCAGATTTTTCCTTTAGAGCTTGTGTTCTTTGTTCATGTGTCATGGCGGTGTTAAAAGGTGGGTCCTCTGAGTTTTGTCAGCACTTAACAACTTGTTAAGAGAGAACTAATGACTACACTTAGATTGAGCTAATTTCGAAAGGTCATTGTACTAAATTTGTGAAAGTAAGATGCCATAAATACCAGATTAAAAAAAAAAAAAAAAAAAAAAGAGCTTTTAGTTTTGTAATTACTAAATAAGTTTTCAGTTAAAAAAAAAGTGAATAAAAAATTGAAAAAAGAAAACAAAATCGGTATCAAACGCCGAAGTGCTTCTAGAACTAAAAGCGCATTTTCTGATCACATTTGGTAGAAAATTTTTGTGTGATAAAAAGCACTTGAAGTGATATGTGCTTTTTTCAAAAAGTACTTCTAAAAATATTTTTATTAAAAATTTCAATATATTTCTAATTGAAATGCTTCTAAGAAGAAGTATATTTTAAAGAAGTTAATTTAAACGAGCCCTAAAGAGTAAAACACAAAAGTGAACATTTAATTAGCTATAAGCTTGATCCCTTCAAAAATAATTTTAAAAAAAAGAATTAACTTGGCTCCTCAATGGATGAGGAGGAGTTCCACCCAAGATACTTTGTTACTAACTTCATGCTCTTGATTGGAATCATTCATATATAAATCATTCTATAAATATTTTTGCTCAAAAACAAAAAAATCATTCTGTAAGATATTATTTATGCTAAAAATCAATATTGTGCCTTTATTGGCGTCCAACTTTAAACTAAATTCACCCATAGCAATAAGTTCACCCAATCATGTTTTAAAAACTTCTAAACTATTATAAGTTAACCCCCCACAAATATCCTTATTGAAAACCTAATCTCATGAACCCTAAAATATGTAAGTTCACCCGCTGAAGACACCCACATGTTCTTTATCGCATGAACGTTGTGCATCTCTATTTCAAGTGCATTTCCCAAGCATCTTGATGAGCTGGTCCAATAATATTTCAGCTCTCTAACCCCATCACAATCATGAATATTGCTTCTCTTGCACATGGAAAACCCAATACTGCCGGGTTGGCTGAATGCTACTATTTGGAACTTGTCGTGGACATTGTCATCATATATATTTTTCAGCTCTCTTGAGTATTTTGTAGCTCCATCTATATTTCAAGATAGTCAGTAACAACCGAACATTGTCCTCGTATATTCAGTCAGTGACCACTGACTTTTATTTTTTCATTCAGTGGATAGGCACCGAACGTCTGTTGTGTTTAAACATTGTTCTGCGATCTACTCAGATTATGCTAGATTCATCCCTCATCGAGCAAATTAGCAAGAAACTGTAAAATATATTAAGGAGGAATTAACTTCACATCCTTCATTTTACTATTATATTGATTAAAATCCTATTCACTTTCAATTTTTGATCAAGGTCCTTGTGTCACATCCCGGCCCGGGGGGCACCACTTCCCGGGCCCGATCCACCACCGTAGCACGATATTGTCCGCTTTGGGCCCCAACCACGCCCTCACGGTTTTGTTTTTGGGAACTCACACGAGAACTTCCCGATGGGTCACCCATCCTGGGAATGCTCTCGTGCGCTACTCGCTTAACTTCGGAGTTCCTATGGAACCCAAAGCTAGTGAGCTCCCAAAAGGCCTCGTGCTAGGTAGGGATGGGAATATACATATAAGGATCACCCCTGGGCGATGTGGGATGTCACACCTTGGGTATTAATAACATCATTAACTATTTGAATAATAAAATATTTTTATCTTAAAATATATTCCTTTAGTGTTAAAAATGTTACAATTAGTATATCTATATTTATGGCTAAATTTTTTATCATATATTTTATTTTCAGTTTGTACCTATTTTTAATTTGCAAATCTTTTTTAATTTGTACCAATTTTCTTTTCATTTTTAATTTGTACCTATATATTAGTTTCTTTTTGTGCCCATATTTTTTTAAAGTTTTATTTGTATTTGTACCCATGTGTTTACTGTGACAACCCGTCCCAAAAACATTTTAACGTACGTGTGAAAAGACGAAATTGCCCCTAGTTTGATTTCTTTACGTTTAATTGTCGTTGTGAGCTTTGTTGGCATGTGTGGAACCACACACACACACTCCCACACTTCTCTTCCCCGAGCCCCATTTCTCTTCCCTTTCACCATAAATGTACGGACAAACACACAAGCACACTAAACACTCACAGATCGAAGAAACTAAACCCATATTCGAACTCGTGGAGCTTGTAGGAACCCAACCGTACCATTTTCAGGTAAGAATATCAACGTTTTCACGTCGATTTCACGAAGTTCGATTTTGGGTACTATTCATGCAAACGTAATTTCTCACGTTTTAGGGAAAATGAAGCTTGTAGGTAGCTTGGTGAGGTCCCAAGGAGTCTCGGAGTAGTTCGTTTGAAGGAATTGGACGTCGGGATCACCGTATTCGAAGTTGCCCGGAATTGGATTGTGTGGACAGGTGAGATCTTGTGGTTTTTAACCCTTAAAAGTGGTATATTTGTGTTCTCCTAGGTCTAAGCTTCAATTTGGTAGTAATTTCATGAAATTTGGACGAAAAACGATCGAGATATCAACGTTTGAAATTTTTCCAGTTTTCCGGCACCGGCGACCTCGCCGGAGTCTCGCCGGGGAAGGAGATGGAATATTCCGTCAAGTCTGACAGAATATTCCTGACGCCGTTGATGGAATCCGTTAGAACTAACGGAATATTCCTAACGGCGTCAGTTGACGCCGTCAGCGTGCCAGGCACGTGCCTTGGTCGGCGCGTGGGGGCGCGTGCGACGGTGGAAAATTTTTCTAAAAATTTGGGTGTGATCCTGAGGTTGTGTAGAGCACGTTGGTATATTCAATTGTCCAATTTGAGCAATGTATGAGAAGTTATTACGAAGGGAAGGTCATGTACTTTAAAATTAACGTTTTTATAGTATTTTCGCATATAGGTGAGACGTATCCCGAGGACGAGCGTGGTCACTCGAGGCAGGGGGGCTACGACCCTTCCACTTATCAGTGAGTGGGCTTTTGGTTTTCCGTATATACCTATATACTGATATTTTTCCCAGAAATTAATTTAAATGTTTATTAGTTATATGCCATGCATTATATTATCGTCTTTTATGCATTATTAGTTGCATTACTGGGAGTATATATTTATATTCATATGCATATTTGGTGCTGTGGACGCACAGGTAAGTGCCAGGTAAACGTGATTTAATACTTGCATTCAATAGTGATTAGAGATGCTTAGAGAGCTCATAACCTCCACCTCCAGTGTTAGTGCTCCCGCCCAGAGTAGGGCACAGTCCTTCACGTGATGTTCACCTCCCGCACCACACGCTCAGCTTGGATCCAAGTTAGGTGCACAATCCTGTCGTACAGACCACTTTAGGTGGTTCCGACTTGTAGGTGACCCGCGGTTATTCGCACAGCCTTCACGTGATCGTAGCACTAGAGCGTTTATATGTATTACACTCAGGCCTGTCGTACAGACCACTTTAGGTGGTTCCGACTCGTGGGCAGGTTTAGTTATTGTGATTGAGATTTGAGCTCTAGATGCAGCCGCACAGGTCACGTTAGGTGACTCCGGCTGCCAGATTATATATTATTGATGTGATTTATACCTGAGCACTTGCATTTCATTCTGAGGTTCCGACATGGCATATTCTTGAGCATGATTGGCATATCTATATATACGTACATATGTTTACTTTCTGGGAAGTATACAGGTTTTACGGCGAGGGGTTAGAACTTATTTTGCTAAATGGTTTTTGAAAAGCTTTGTTTTTGCCCACTCACACTTTTGTTTTGCGCCCCTCCAGGTTCTAGCTAGCTAGCATTTTTGGTGGTTTCCCAGAGGGCTTTCCCGGCATTTCTGATAGATGATCACCAGCGTAGGGCCACCTTCGGGTGTATTATTGTCGCATCTTTCCTTTTGGACTGCTTTAGGCGTTTTGGCTCTAAACTTAGCGTCTCACTTACGCTAGCACTTATTACTTTTAACTTATGTATGCTAGTTTTTATTTATTCGTACTTTTACGTTACTATTTTATTAGCTTCCGCACTGTGCACATGGTTACGTCACCTCCGTGTGATAGCCAGCACGTCCTGATCTCGGTCGGGGTGTGTCAGTTTGGTATCAGAGTGTAGGTTTGGCAGTCCTGTGTCTTTGTGAGTATTCTAATGGTTTTGGTGTCTTCTGTCAGAACTATGCCACCTCGTCGGGAACCACGTCGCTCTGCTGAGCCTAGTTTCCCTGATATTGCTCAGCTGGGGGAAGCTATTGCTACAGCTATTCAGTCGGCGATCCGCCCTCCCTAGATGACTCCTCTGGAGACTATGTATAATTTGAAGTTGGATAAGTTTGAGGGTAATGAAGGTCATGAGGGTGCAGAGCGATGGTTAGAGCACATTGAGAAGATTTTTCGTGTTCTGAATAGTCAGGGGAATCTTCCTGTCGAGAAGTGGGCAGAGACGACCTCGTGGTTTCTGGGTTTGGAGTCTGCAGCCTGGTGGGAGCAGGAACTTCGTCGTTTGACTCCAACTGAGAAGACCGGTTGGGATGTTTTCATTAAGTTATTCAAGAGAAGGTTTGTGCCCCCTGAGTACATTGATCGTAAGAAGCAGGAATTTACTGAGTTGAAACAGAGGAAGCTGACAGCGAATGAGTACTATCGGAAGTTCACTGATTTGTCTCGCTATTATCCTGAGATTGCTGGTAATCCGGCGGAGATGCTTCGTCGTTTTCGCTTAGGAACTAAGAAGAAATGGCGTTTGATGGCGACCACTACCCACTGTGATACTTACCAGGACTTTTATGAGGTTCTACTGAGAGTTGAGGATTCAGAAAACATGTCGAGCGAGAGTGATGAGGAAGAGAAGAATGGTAATCAGAAGAAAGACGATAAGGGTAAAGGTCAAGCATCGCTCGGGCCTCGTCCGACTCAGAACTTTAAGAGAGGTGGTACGAGTTCTAGCTCTTCTAGCGGTGGTTTCAGTGCCACTGGTCAAGGACGTGGAGGTAGGTTTGCTGGTGGTGCTAGAGGCTAGAGACAGGGTGATGGTGGCCGAGGTAGGGCCCCACTTTGCCGCAAGTGTAATAATCGACACTTTGGTGAGTGTAGACGTGGCAGCAGTGGTTGTTTTACTTGTGGGCAGATGGGACATCGAGCTGCGAATTGTCCCCAAAGTCAGCAGCAGAAGCCGCAGCAGACTTTCTTGCCGCCGCTTGCGCCGATTCAGCAGATTCAGGGTCCGGGTAGTTACGGGCAGGCAGGTCGAGGTGGTGCCTGTCACTATTAGGGTGATGTTGTTCCTTATGCCCCAGGACAATATCAGTATCCCCAGGACCCATATTCTCAGGTGGTTATCCTCCGTATTCTGGCGGCTATATGCCGTATCATCCAGCTCTAGTAGGCGGTTCTCAGTGGTTTCAGGGAGGACAGTTCCAGCAGGGAGAGATTGCTTCGAGTAGTGCGGGGTCTTCGAGGCAGTCTGGTCAGCCTAGTCAGGGGCGTGGTACTCAGAATCGTGGTGGTCAGACGAGCAGAGGTCGCGGTGGACGACAGCAGACCCAAGGACGTATTCATAATATCTCGCTGCAGGATGCTCAGAACAATCCAAATTTGATTATGGGTACGTTAAATATACTTGGTTATTTTGCTAGAGTATTAGTTGATTGTGGTGCTACACATTCTGTGATATCTCATACATTTGCTCAAGTGACGCAACCTTGCCCCACACCTCTAGGGTACGATTTAGAGTTCGCTATGCCTAGAGGAGAGAGATGTATTGTAGATCGGGTGTACCCAGGGTGTCCAGTGATAGTTGAGGGTGTTGTTATGCCAGCTGATCTTATCCCGTTAGATATTGTCGACTTTGATGTGATTCTGGGCACAGATTGGTTGCATTTCTATCGTGCCAATATTGATTGTTACGGGAAAATAGTTACGTTTCATCATTCTGGACTACCTGTGGTTACTTTTGTAGGTGAGCAGAGTGGGGTGAGACATGGCGTTATTTCGGCTTTGCGAGCGAAAAGGTTGTTGTCTAAAGGTTGCCAGGGGTACTTAGCTCATGTGGTATTGGATGAGGCTCCTCCTAGTAGAGTTGAGGATGTGAGGGTAGTCAAGACACTTTCCCGATGTTTTCCCGAGGATTTGCCTGGTTTACCACCAGACCGAGACATGGAGTTTACTATTGAGTTGCTTCTAGGTACGAATCCTATTTCCTTGACTCTTTATCGTAAGGCACCCGCTGAGTTAAGAGAATTGAAAGTTCAGTTGCAGGAATTAGTGGACAAGGGTTTTATTCAGCCTAGTACTTCACTGTGGAGAGCTCCAGTATTGTTTGTGAGGAAGAAAGACGGAACTTTGAGGCTATGCATTGATTATCGGCAATTGAATCGGGTGACGATTAAAAAGCGTTATCCATTGCCACGTATCGATGATTTGTTTGATCAGCTTCGAGGTGCTTGTGTATTCTCCAAGATTGACTTGAGGTCTGGATATTATCAGCTGAAAATTGGTAGGGATGACGTTCCTAAGACGGCGTTCAGGACTCGTTATGGTCATTACGAGTTTCTGGTTATGCCATTTGGGTTGACGAATGCACCAGCTGCTTTCATGGATTTGATGAACCGAGTATTCCAGCCATATTTGGATAGGTTTGTTATTGTTTTCATTGACGACATTTTGGTGTATTCGAAATCGAAGGCGGAGCATGTTCGACATCTTACTTTGGTGTTGAAGAGGTTGAGGGAACACCAATTGTATGCTAAGTTTAGCAAGTGCCAGTTCTGGTTAGACCAAGTTGCGTTTTTGGGGCACGTCATTTCTGCTCAGGGTATTTTGGTAGACCCTCAGAAAGTAGCAGCTGTGGAGAATTGGGAGCAACCGCGAACCGTCATTGAGGTGAGAAGTTTCCTTGGTTTAGTAGGTTATTATCGACGGTTTGTGAAGGATTTTTCCGTGATTGCTTTACCACTGACGAGGTTGATGAGGAAGGATGTTAAATTTGAGTGGGGTGATAAGTGTGAGCAGAGTTTCCAGCAGTTGAAGCATTGTCTCACTCATGCACCAGTTTTGGCACTCCCGGACGATAGTGGTGATTTCGAGGTTTATAGTGATGCTTCATTGAATGGTCTGGGATGTGTGTTGATGCAGCATGGTAGGGTGATTGCTTATGCTTCGCGACAGTTGAAACCTCATGAGTTGAATTACCCTACACATGATTTGGAGTTGGCCGCTATTATCTTTGCGTTGAAGTTGTGGAGACACTACCTTTATGGGGAGAAATGTAGGATCTTTACAGATCACAAGAGTCTTCAGTATTTTTTACTCAGAAGGAACTTAATCTTCGTCAACGGAGGTGGATGGAGTTGCTCAGCGATTACGAATGTACGATTGATTATCACCCGGGTCGTGCGAATGTAGTTGCTGATGCACTTAGCAGGAAGTCTCAGGGCCGCATTAATGCGTTGTATGCGAGTCGTATTCCTCTTTTGGCGGACTTGCTCTCTACGGGAGTGAGATTAGAAGCAGAAGATCGAGAAGTGGCTTTACTTGCTAATTTTCAAGTTAGGCCAATCTTAGTTGATCGAGTGCTTGCAGCTCAGGTAGCTGATGAGCAGACTCAAGAACTAATCCAAGCTCGAGATCAAGGAAGGAGGAGAGACCTCAGAGTTCGTGATTCGGATGGCATGTTGATGCAAGAGGGAAGAATGTTTGTGCCGAATAATTTGGATTTAAAGAAAGAAATTCTCGATGAAGCACATATCTCGGCTTATGCCATGCATCCAGGAGCTACAAAAATGTATCATACCATTCGACCATTTTATTATTGGCCGGGTATGAAGAGGGAGATAGCTGAGTATGTGAGTAGGTGCGCTGTTTGTCAGCAAGTTAAAGCAGAAAGAAAGAAGCCATTTGGGTTGTTGCAGCCGCTTCCCATTCCAGAGTGGAAATGGGAAAATATTACCATGGATTTTGTGTACAAGCTTCCGCGTACACATAATGGTTTTGATGGCATTTGGGTGATCGTTGATCGGCTCACTAAGTCGGCACATTTCATTCCAGTGAGGGAGAAGTATTCTTTGGGCCAATTAGCGGAGTTGTTCATTTCGAAGATTGTGAAGTACCATGGTGTCCCTGTGAGTATTGTCTCGGATCGTGATCCACGATTTACATCTAAGTTTTGGGTGGCTTTTCAAGAAGCTTTGGGTACGAGACTACTTTACAGTACGGCGTATCATCCTCAGACAGACGGACAGTCAGAGCGAACCATTCAGACTTTGGAGGATATGTTGCGAGCTTCGGTGTTGCAGTTTGGTGATGCTTGGCACCAGCGGTTGGACTTGATGGAATTTGCCTATAATAATAGCTTTCATTCGAGTATTGGCATGGCGCCATTTAAGGCATTATATGGTAGAGCTTGTCGCACACCGTTGTGTTGGTCTGAGGTTGGAGAAAGAGTCTTAATGGGTCCGGAGATTGTTGAGGAGACTACTCAGAATGTTCAGGTAATTAAGTCTAACCTGAAAGCAGCCCAGGACAGGCAGAAGAGCTTAGCAGATCGGCACGCTACGGATAGAGTGTATGAGGTCGGAGATTGGGTATTTCTGAAGTTTTCGCCGTGGAGAGGTGTTGTGCGGTTTGGGAAGAAAGGCAAGTTGAGTCCCAGAGTGAGTTGGTGAGGTAGCTTACAGGTTGGAGTTGCCTCCGGAGTTGGCTAGAGTGCATAACGTGTTTCACGTATCCAAGCTTCGACACTATGTTGCTGATCCGTCTCACGTGATACCTCCGCAACCCTTGGAAATTAATCCAGATTTGACTTATGATGAGGAACCGATGACGATCATCAATTGGAAGGAAAAGGTTCTAAGGAACAAGACGGTGAATTTAGTGAAAGTTTTGTGGAGGAATCATTCAGTCGAGGAAGCTACGTGGGAAACAGAAGATCGGATGAGAGATTTGTATCCTCGGTTGTTCTTTGACCACTAGGGGTTGTTATTAGGTTGTTTTGAACTTCGGGATGAAATTCTATTAAGGTGGGTAGGTTGTGACAGCCCGTCCCAAAAACATTTTAACGTACGTGTGAAAAGACGAAATTGCCCCTAGTTTGATTTCTTTACGTTTAATTTTCGTTGTGAGCTTTGTTGGCATGTGTGGAACCACACACACACTCCCACACTTCCCACCTGTCCCTATCCCTTTCCCTGTGATTTCCCCGAGCCCCATTTCTCTTCCCTTTCACCATAAACGTACAGACACACATACAAGCACACTAAACACTCACAGATCGAAGAAACTAAACCCATATTCGAACTCGTGGAGCTTGTAAGAACCCAACCGTACCATTTTCAAGTAAGAATATCAACGTTTTCACGTCGATTTCACGAAGTCCGATTTTGGGTACTATTCATGCAAACGTAATTTCTCACGTTTTAGGGAAAATGAAGCTTGTAGGTAGCTTGGTGAGGTCCCAAGGAGTCTCAGAGTAGTTCGTTTGAAGGAATTGGACGTCGGGATCACTGTTTTTGAAGTTGGCCGGAATTGGATTGTGTGGACAGGTAAGATCTTGTGGTTTTTAACCCTTAAAAGTGGTATATTTGTGTTCTCCTAGGTCTAAGCTTCAATTTGGTAGTAATTTCATGAAATGGACGAAAAACGATCGAGATATCAACGTTTGAAATTTTTCCAGTTTTCCGGCGCCGGCGACGTCGCCGGAGTCTCGCCGGGGAAGGAGACGGAATATTCCGTCAAGTCTGACGGAATATTCCTGACGCCGTTGACGGAATCCGTTAGAACTAACGGAATATTCCTAACGTCGTCAGCGTGCCAGGCACGTGCTTGCGCGTGGCCGGAGCGTGCGGCGGTGGAAAATTTTTCTAAAAATTTGGGTGTGATCCTGAGGTTGTGTAGAGCACGTTGGTATATTCAATTGTCCAATTTGAGCAATGTATGAGAAGTTATTACGAAGGGAAGGTTATGTACTTTAAAATTAACATTTTTATAGTATTTTCGCATATAGGTGAGACGTATCCCGAGGACGAGCGTGGTCACTCGAGGCAGGGGGGCTACGACCCTTCCACTTATCAGTGAGTGGGCTTTTGGTTTTCCGTATATACCTATATACTGATATTTTTCTCAGAAATTAATTTAAATGTTTATTAGTTATATGCCATGCATTATATTATTGTCTTTTATGCATTATTAGTTGCATTACTGGGAGTATATATTTATATTCATATGCATATTT